TGTGAATTTTAAAAAAACAGTTGATCATTTCTGAAGATAAAAAGAAATACTCACTTTATTCTCTTATGTTAGAAATATGCCCCACCCTAGATGTCAACATTCACTTTGATACACACAAACACGCGAGTAAATACGCTTTAGAAGAGTAGATAATTTATACATACATAAATTATATCTATATTTTTGTAAAGAAAAATTTTGTCAGGTACATGTGTTTTATGACCTCTTTTCCCTCTAAAATAAAAGACGAATTTTTGATCAGCTAGTGGAAATCACCAGTTGATTGGTTTCTTTTTCTAATTTTACCATAAAAATTGAATATATATATTTTCTCCGTTGACTTACTCGCCTATTTAATGGCTCCCACTTACTTATTTTAAAAAGATTATTATCACTTTTAGGATACATACGAAAATTGACAAATGCTTTACGGTATTATTATGCTAACCCATCTAACTATCTACCTACTTACTTACATGTCAATGGTTTTTTCTTTTTTAACTATTTTGCACGCCTGTCTATCAAAGGATACTTATCATTGAATGGATTAGCTTGTCTAATACTTAAAATTTTCTCATGAATGATTTAATATTAAAAGCTACATTTTTTCAAGCTAAAATTCTGTGACCCAAGAAAATGTAACGTCTACACATAATTTTTACATAATTCTGCGAATGTACTGAAAAAAGAGGGGAAGTTCATTTATGATTAATGTGCACCGTAAGTAATATGTTATTACATAGTACTGGTTAAATTAAGTCAGTGCTACTCGTGAATGCAATTAAATTATAGTGTTCATTTATTATGAAGTAAAGTAAACTCAACTGTTAGCGACGGATAACTATTTCCCTAATTAATAATAACACCCTTAAGCAAATCTATGTGTTTGTGATGTATACCATTACTAAACCCACGTTAGTTAAGTTCATAAGCAGATAATTTCACATAACGCATCTTCGATTCCGCCTCGCGAGATCGCAACACAGGACCTATCAGTATCGTGCGCGAACACTCAACCTCTACACCACTGAGCTGTCATCCAACCGTGTTAATGTCTAACTTCAACAAATTCACGAAACTGAGCCGCCGTCCACTATTGTCTTCAGTGAGTTAATATCTCACAAGAGATCCGATTGTACTGCACTGGTCATTGTTTCTCACTAGAACTCCAGGAAACACTTCTTGAAGCCAGTCACTAGTGGGCAGAAGGGGTTTTGTAGTGATTTTATTAATTTTACGGTTGAATTCATGAGCCAATTGAAATTCGTTATCATTTTTCCTTGAAAACATACATTCTAAATGATATTTTGATCATGATAACACATGTTTCAGGTTGTTGAAGTTTATGCTGCAGACCACCTCCTAAACATCTAACATTTGAACATGTTGCACTCAGTACAGAATCACGTGGACGAATGACCAAATTAAACTGTAATTGATAGGATCTGGTCAACGTTGAAAGACCAGACAAACATGATAATTGCCACTATTCAGTTATATATCGCTTGTAGCATTCTTTATTCTTGATTGATTGGAAGTGACTATTATTCCACTGAAGGCAAAACCAACTTATTGACTGACGTCTAGACTGTAGATTACCGGTCTACTGTTGTGATCATTTTCCAACCTGAAGGCTTTGGGTTGAATTTTGTGTACAGTCGCGGAAGTTCACTTTTGGAAAGCTCCAAACTAGAAACGAATGACTGCAGTTGATGTCAGTTCGTGATTAGAATTATCTTAAGAAATGGCATTTGGATGATCCTCACTACCCTAGTGAATGGTGTTTTATTATTTGTATCGATAAGTAATTAGTTTACTATAAGTGCCAATTTTAATACAGGTAAATTTTTATTGTTTATGTCTAATTGAATTAAGTTTTTTAAGTATCGTCATGACAAATCACATTCTTGATCCAATAATTTTTATGGTTCATTCTCTTTATTGTGAATAAAATGATTTTTGCCAAGGTTAAGAGATTATATTATTTTAACTGTGCACCTAAGTCTAAATAAACAGTTTCACTTTAGATATCTATTTTCCATGTTCGATAATGAATGGTCTAGCTTCGGATTATTCGATAAAAATAAGTTTGAAAAGTCGTAAATATACCTTGTCGACTAAGTGTCAGCTAGTTGACAACTCTGGTTTTTGGCTAATTACTATGGATAACTAATCATTAAATCTTAAAAACACGGCTCATAGAATTATGGAGTCAAATGCAAGTTAGGTTTTTGTTAACTACAAGGACTGAATAACCATTTATTCTCATAATAAAAATGCAAATAACTTAATTTTATAGGCAGGATTGGTCTTCCACAAAGTACAAAGTGATGCATTAATCGTTTAGTTGTAACCATCAAAACTGAACATTTATCATAGCATATCTTCATATTTAGATCACATATAAAGCTAAAAATGTCAAGATATAACGAAGGGGAATAATATAAAACTTTTATAGAAATATATATGTAATTTGATGGGATTTCTAGTTCATCATGTCAAAATCTAATTACTTTTTTTAAAAGGATAGTTTAAACAAAGTTTCAGTGAATTTGTTAGATTTTAAATAGACTTCACCTATTACTTTGAAAAGTTAACAACCTGAAAATCAATTTGATTGGAGTGAACTATTGACCGGCTAGCTTATTCTTGGACAAGACTTACCACCAGTATTTAGGTTAAACGATTATACGGAATCATGTATTGGATAATCTAGAAAAGAATTATATTGTTTCATTTATTCATTTCACTAATGATATTATAAGATTCATCTTATGACGAAAATATACATGATTAATTTGACAAAACATAGAACTGAATGTTTATTCCAGTTACATTCAACGATAAAGTTGACCAGTTATTCAATAAGCCATCACTTTCCCCTTATCAAAAGTTTTAAACCAATCACTTTGAAGTTGAAGCTCATCAAAACTACAAATCGGTTTCTGTGGCGCCTATTAACTAAACTGTTCATGGTAATCAGTATAATCACTATGTACATTATCTATCATCCTTCAACGAGAATTCCTATGTTAAAAACACCACTGTTTCACATTAAAGTAACTATATTACAGATATACTTGAAAATATTTAATAGAACTCTGATTTATCGGATTACATGTTATTTTGTATCGTTTAAGACTATTTTACAAAGTCCCTTCACTGTCTTTTTTTCTTTTTCAAATAACTAATGGTTTAATTAAAATTTATTTCAATAATTATTCAAATATTATACAGATAAATTTAACAAAAGTACAGGTATGGAAAAAAGTATAATATTTACAAATCATTATAGTTATTCTTCATTTATGTACATGAAAGTAATCAGATCTCAGTATATTGTTAATCATTAAACGGGGAGGGTAGAATAATCTTTCCCTATTTATTATTTGTATCATCAAAGTTTATATTGACAATATGGAGAGAACAGTATTAGATTTGAGTATTGAAACACATAATAATTGAATATGTAATAAGTAACAGACTATCTTATTTGATTGTTATCATATTGATCTTGTCATCATTATACTACTGATAATTATAACAATCACTTTTCAATAATGAACATTTTGAAAGACATTTATTTAATTTGTACATATTGAGACGCCACATCATATTCCGTGAAGAAATGAAGCCAGTTGATTACCTAAAAAAAAACTGAAAACAGAAAGAAATAGAAATAACTTTACATTGGAATATTTTCATTAACTTATCTATTAAATCACCTATTGTTCAGCTAATAAAAAGGGAAGGTTTTTTTAATTGGGAAAAAAGTTCCTTGTATCAGAATGTGTTCACTTTAACCAATTTACTTTAGTTCTAGAGGGTAAATTAATTCAACAATGTAAAAATTAATTCAATAGGATTATATGGATGGTAGTTACCTGAGTGAGAATAAATTGCAAGCACTACTTCAGTTCATATTTCTCTATAAATTTAAGTTTAGAATTTTAATGAAAATCAGATCACTTAATTGCCGATTAGGTTATTTGTCAAGATTTCTGTAGACAAATTTACTTGGTCATACACAATGGTTGGTCAGAGTTATATGAAGTCAGTGATAAAGCAAAATATAAATAACTTTCATAGTGAGGCCTTAGTTTCTCATGCTAATGAAATGCTATGGAAACAGATATCTTGAGATTATTTATGTTCCGAATGATATTTAATCAAATTCATCTTGTATCAAAAAGTATAACTCGATTCTTCTCACTGGTCGGTGTTTTATTAATTTGAGCCCAATTGTTGATAATCCGATTTATGAGAGTATTTTCCACGTGACCACACTATGTGCATCAATTCAAGTGATCGACTATTATTCACATGATCAGAAAATGTCTCAGTTTGCGACAAAGGTCTGTAACATTGGATAAACCACTTAGTAACCAACATTGCCATTCAATTATTTGTGATTGATATTTATCTTTTAATAAAAATTCATGATGTAGGTTTTCACTTTTGACTGAATAATATATATTTATTGGTTTCCTAAACGTTACAAAACATATTTTTCTGTCTCATACAGTCTCATGGTAGCATAATTTTTTTGATCTTTGTACTCGGCAATTTATACTACTTACAAGTAGTCAAATGAGTTGAACGGAAGTATTAAAACTTTGGGTGGATCTCAACTCACCCCAAATTGAATCGCTTGATAAATATCGTAAACTAAGTAAAAACAATACATTATGTACAATGTACACCATAAAACATCGTACTGGGTACACGCACATTTAAAGTGAATATAATTTAAAAATTCTGAGTCGTAAATTTTGAGCAGATAGATTGTATCGGTTGTTTTCCCATTTTAGCTAATGTTTAGGATTAATAAACAGTCCATTTACTATATATTTGGTAACCATATCATTTAAAGAATTAAATTACGCAAAGCAAATAAAGTGAACTTACTTGTTGTCAATAGATTTTTATTAGTTATATATCAAGAAAGTTACAATATTGTTTGCTCTGATAAATGTTGTTTCTCCGCCTGCTCACGCCATTTAGGAAGAATTTCTGAAAAATTTAAACAATAAATATTCTCAGTTAGTATCTGATCAGATAGTAAACTTCATATATTATCATCTAAGTCCTTGTGTCTTACATAATTTCTACATACAGAAGTCTGTAATGAACAAATTCATCTTCATTTATAAAAAATAATTACAATCAAACAGTTCGGTAAATATATTTTAAGTAACATTTGTTATATTAGCTGATTAAATCCATCAATCACAAAACATTTCAGATGTTAATGACCTTGTAAAACCATCTGTAACATGCTTTATACTTACCTAGTAACGTTGTTTGTCTATATTTCGTAATAGGATAGGCGATTTTCCCACTTTCTGGTATTTCATGTTTACGAATTCCATATTTTGTGTATGAAATAAAGGGTACTGATCATTAACTAGTAGTTCCTGAAGTGAATTCACAGTTCTATATGAAATAATCGGATTCGATACATTTAATTTGTTTAATGTAGAAGTATTTAAGGTCGTAAGTGAATATGATCGTTCCAAAACATGATTTAAAGGTGTATGTTTTACAGTGTGAGCAAGATTTTGAGGCCATTTTTTCACAGGTAAATTCCATGAGTTAATTTTAGTCGATATAAGTTTATTTTTCTTTGAATTCTCTACATTACTTTTCAATAAATTGCTATGTTGTGAGGCCAAAAGTTCATTTGTTCCCTTCTTCACTTTATTTGCTTTCGCATAACGTATTTGTTTTATTGGTGTTTGGAGCACTTGGGTACTGTCATGCTGATCTATTGAGACACAAGTATCTGAATGGTATTGTTTGCCCAATAAAACGATGGTATATATTGATTTTTTGTACTTATCAGCTCCCATTGCCAGCGATCACATGAATTACTGCTCTTAGTATCATTGTTTTCAGCAATATCTGCCGGAGTTGATAAACATTTAGGTAAATTTTTCACTGTCCCGTTGAAGTGTGTATAATCAGATATGGGTGATGGCGTTTTCGACGCATAATTTAGTGTGAAACAGTTAATGTTAATGTCATACATCCTTTGAAATCGCTCAGTCGATGACTTCATAGCGTTATCAGCTTCCTGTTGCCTTCTTTTGGTAAAAAGTGTTTTATCCATCGCACAATTGCTGGAACATGTGAATAACTGTCTAGCTGGAAAACTGATTTCTGAATCCATGACCATTTTGACTACAATAAATGAGTGTTAATTGTCGCGTGTCATATACCACCTGGTTATTTATACCAAAAGATAACGATAAAAAAAATAAGGGAATTGATAATTCTAATATCCAGCCAATCAAAATTGAGTGGGGTTAGGTGTGATGCTTTTGTAATCATTCTATTGGATGAAATTTCTTACCGTACCGTCATGAATTTTCTAATGGTGAGAGTTCTTTTTATTTCGAGTAATATGACTGGTTAGGAAACCAGTGAATTTGTTACTTATGAAAAATTAATGATGATGATGAAAATGTTCATACAAGACAGCGAATTTTTTAAACGCAGGGATGATGAATAAAGTGACCACCATAAGATTAAAATTATTCGACTAAGTTAAGAAGGCAACAAACAAACAATAGACTAACTTCTTTAATTTAAGTATTCCACACCAAAATTGCAATTGACTAATTGCCCATATTCTATTCGTTATTAATATGGTATCATGGTATGATGCAAATATATCAAATATTTTTAACGAGGATAAATAAATTAGTGATTTGAGAAAACTTATTCTCTTTACAAATTAACAGGTTATAGTAAATATCAAATGTTTGCTAATGAGATTTAAACTTTAAAGAAACAATTATTATTCAACGGAATACACCCATTAAAAGACATTAATGAGAAAGATTGGTTCAACGAAGAGTTCTCTTTTCGGTGAATTCATTTTTTAATACCTTTGTTTATTCTACATGTCTAACACAAGTTTATTATCACTACTGTAATTATTATCATTCTGAAGTATATATATACACATATACTCGCGACTGTACAGCTTTGAAATGAATTCTCCGAAAATAGAACTCTTCGCTGAACCGAAGTTTTTTTATTTAAAACTATTTAGTTGTCCCTGGTCCCTAATGATTTCTAATTCTGAACTAGAATAACAATAATTACTACTCTTTAATTTTGATTGAATGCCGGCTCAGTGATCTAGAGGTTAAGCGCTTGTGCGCAAGAGTGATAGGTCCTGGGTTCTAAACTCGCGAGCTGGGATCGTGAATGCATACTGCTGAGAAGTCCCATACTAGGATGAAATGGCCGTTCAGTGCTCCCAAGTTTTCCATAATCGTCTAGCTGCAGCTGACTCATGAATTCAACTATTAAAATTACAATGATATCCACAAAATTCATCTCTGATTAATGGATTTAATCTATATTATTGTCAGATTATTCATTATTTTCTCAGTTTATTTGGAAACATTCATTTCATATGTTAGTGCCATTCGGTTAAACGTCATAGAAGTTAATCTACCACCACTGACCATTGATTATTTCTCTTCAGTTGATGAATTTCTGATCGTAAGTAATCAAGTTAAATTCTATGTCTGTACAATTTATATTTATTGTAACCAAAAGAAGAACTATATTCTAACTTCTCTACTGTCTGTCTACTGTCACATTTATACCTACTGAAACTCGTTAGGTAATCTCTAAGATATAGTGAATAATATATTTGAGAAGTAAGAATTTTGAACATTTTCCCAAACTAAAATATGTGTGAAGATGACTAAGTAATGTCATTCAAGATAAATTATTGAAAGGATAATGAAATATATTCAGTTTCATAATTGTATATAATATAAAATGAATTTTACTAAAAGGATCAAGGATAAGATTCACGGAATTTGAATGAACATCCATAAAATGCAATTAATCAACGAAAGATATATTAGGAAGTAAGATTGTTTACGATCAGAAATGTACCAGATAGATGTTATATTCAAATTGTAAACACATTAGAAGTGCCATTTATGGCCCGAATGCGGATACAAGCTGATGTCTTGCGGTTACATACGAATACATCAAATGTAAGACTCTAATTTCAATTTCATGGGTTAATGTTTTCATCTTAATGTAATTAGTGTTGTAACTCACTCATGATTTGCGGTCATGGGTCGGATATTGTATGAGCTAATCAATACTCATTACTGAAGAGTCATAGAATAGGACAAATAGTTATCAGATGATTCCCCACATGTAATAACTTTTCACATTGTGTCCATTAATTATATTTGAGTTATATAAAAATCAGATGGGTTTTATGGATATTATAGTAATTTCAATGGCTAAGATCATGAGTCATTTGAAGCTAGACCACCATGGAAAACCTGGAAGCACTGGACGGCCGTTTCGTCTTATTGCGGACTCCTTAGCAGTGCGCATCCCACAATAAGACGAAACAGCCTTCCAGTGCTTTCAGGTTTTCCATGGTGGTCTAGCTTCAAATGACTCATGATCTTAAACCATTGAAATTATATAAAAATATCAAATCTGCTTAAATCAGATGTATTTACATTCAAATATATCCAATTCACTCACAGATGAGTAAAGATAAAAAAATAAACATGAAACGAAAAAGTATTTAAGTAGTAATAACTCATATCTCAGTAAAACCTGAAAGTAGTAATAAAGGAAATGTACAAATAAGCCAAACTAACAGAAAAAACACTTAATTCATTTGATATTGTTTTGCTTGAATCTTCCCATTGATGTTTAGGACGGGAATTGATCAGTCTCTTATTGACATATGTGCATACTGTCTGTATTGTCTCGATATTGCTTTAATTCACAAGCATTATTATCAGAACTCAGTAGCTAAGTGGATGCGATGGCGTTTGAAGCGTGTGGTACTGGGTTCGAGTCCCAGAATGAACATCAACTCAGATGCAGGTACATCCAGCTGACGAGTCCCAAACAGGACAAAACGCGCGTCCTGAATTCCACTGCCAGCCACTATCCATCTTTGCTTATAAAACAAATTTAGTTGAATGTTAATCCACATACAGTTCAAATGAATCAAAATGAAATTAAGGTCATGAAAATATTTTGATGACAGTTTAATCTCTAAATATTTCATTCCTTACTTTCACGGTTAGATGAAGTATTATTTCAAAGGATTAGATGTGTTAGTTGATATTTCATTCATTTTTTAGAAGTAGATATTATCTTTTCTTGTTATTATAGGATATTATTATTGTTAGTTTTATTCAATATTATATTTTTGGTACAATATAGAATTTTCAGCACAAAATATTTCAACAAGTTTCCTTTTCTTATTTCGTATTGATCCTGACGATAAATATTGAGTGAACGCCAATTACATGTTAACAGTTCAGCAATCGACATCTGAATAATTTACATTTTTTTTCAATGTATAATACCAGCAACCACAATATCTCTGATTGAGCCTTTTGTAACTTGTGAACTCTTCACAAACGCACCTGAATAGCTTGCGCAATTAATTGACATAATGATCTGATGAAACAAAAAAGACAGAAAACTTGTTGAAATATCTCGATGACAGGAACAGGTAGTCCAAATATTCAAGCAGGCCGCCAGATGATGAACGCCGAACTATTAGAAAATGTGTTCGAATATTTATGGAATATATATTATATTGTTAAAAAAAACCCAATTACTTTATTTTGTACAACAGCTAACTTGCATTGATCTTAATTTGTAGTTAAAAAAGATTTGGGATTTATCATTAGAAAACATTACTATGTTTGCAGCTGTATATTTTACAGATAAATTTTCAATAGTTGAAATCATGAGTCAATCGGAGCTAGACCACCATGGGAAACGTGGAAGCACTGGACGGCCGTTTCGTCCTATTCAAATTTCTAAAAAAATCTCCACAAAACCCATTCTGATAATAATCATCTGCTCACTAGTGACTGACTTCAAGATGCATTTCCTGGAGTCCTAGTGAGGAGCCGTGACCAGTGGAGTTCAACCAGGTCTGTTGTGAGACATCAACTCACTGAAGACAGTGATGTATGGTGGCGCGATTTCGACAATTGGTTGAAGTTAAACATTAAGATCGTTGGATGCCGGCTCAGCGGTCTAATGGTTAAACACTCGCGCGCGAGAGTGACAGGTCATGGGTTCGAATATCGCGGGAGGCGGGATCGTGGATGCGCACTGCTGAGGAGTTCCATCCTAGAACGGGACGGCCGTCCAGTGCTTCCAGGTTTTCCATGATGGTCTGGCTTCAATTGACTCATGATTCCAACGATTGAAATTTCTAAAAAATCTCCACCAAACCCCTTCCGAAGATAAATTTTCGTTTGATGAACGTAGATAGAAGAGTTTTTTTAAAAAAAACACGAGCTTAAAACTGGAATAATGTATACGGGTTAATTATTTTTTAAAGCAGGAATATAAATTAGGAGATTATAAAATATTACATACTTCATATCTTAGCTTATTATTATGAAATATACTATCGTTAATTCGTCGAAAATAATTGTCATTAATTGTAATATTATACACTACAAGTTTCTTTTGAAAGAACCTAAATGAACAATAATAGTAGGCTAATTAGTAAATGAACTTTTCTAAATTCTAATGAAGCTCCGTAACCAGTATAGCTAACAAGGTAGATAGTTAATAAGTAATCTGTCGATAATAGTAGATAACGATTCTAACATATCACAAGTTGATTGCAGCTGATCACTTAGATTAGGATTGAGTGATTTTGAACTAAAACACTTCATTGTAAAACTTGAAAACTGTTAGTTTAGTTTCGTGTAGTTTCTTCAGAGAATTATGGTAAGGAGTTGGAAACTAAGAAGAAATGACTGTCGAATGCTCCACACTTTTGTCAGATAATGTCAATCCAGGATAAATG